TCTCTGAAGCAGACGACTTCTCAAAAATTGTAGACCAGTGTTATTATTATAGTTTGTGATACATGATTCTTTATTTGTTAAAAGTCTTCCTGTATTTTTCATATTTCACTGTGGCAAAGAATATGCTAGGGTAATCTTCTGTGTAAAAATCTGTAGCAGTTTATCTAATATCACCATGATATCCAGGCACTAACAAAACTACATAAACAGTCTATCTGAAATACTGTATTCTCCACTCTTCATTATTCTTTTTTGTTCAGTTAAAGTATGCATAAATAGTTTTAAATTACATTATTCGTTATGTTCAGGGAAGCAATGTAGAGTCTTAAGGCTGTTTTTATGGGAAAGCAATTGCAAATAGATGAGTCTTACATTTGTGTCTGAAAGTTGGAAACCCATGGTCATTACCATTTTTGATGGAAAGGCATTCCACAGTCATTAGTCACCCTCTTGCTCCTGCAGCAAGTGTAATCCTTGCTACTGACCTTATCCCTTGTCCCTGAAAAATGTAATTGCTGTAATAAATTACAGAGAAAAAGTGCCTGAGATCATCTGGGTTCACCTCACTCAGGGATTTGAAGATCAAGACCAGGATTTTGAATTGAAACTAATTTTGGACAGGGAGTCACTGTAGATTTTGGAGCATTAGATTGCTGTACTCATCTTATGTTAGTAGACAAGCCACTCCATGTTTGATCAGCTAGAGTGTAAACCCTTTACTTTCAATCCCTGGTACAATGCATTGGAATACATCACCATGGCCAGGGCTCTATACAATAGGACTGAATGCATCCCCTGAGCAGTTGGAGCTACTAAGAGGCATTTCTAGCCATTATAGCTATTTGTGTATCCAGAAGAAGCAGAGTCCAGAAGACTCCCCAGGCCATGAACTGACTTGATGATTACACTGAAGACTTCTTCAGGTAAGGAGTGTCAGAGGGGTAGCCGTGTTAGTCTGAATCTGTAAAAAGCAACAGAGGGTCCTGTGGCACCTTTAAGACTAACAGACTTCAGGTGAGGGTGACTTTTGTAGTTATGGCCATTTCTTTTGGGTAACTTCCCACACTTACATAATTGTCTATCTTGCCAAAGATTAGTTTGTCAGCTGCTTCATGCAGGTGCATTTTGTTCTCAGGCAACAGGAAAACTGGATAATAGGATGGTTTGTGTTTGATGCGAAGGGGATGAGAATAGTAGACACCTGGCCTGGCAAAACGTGTGGGTCATGGAGTTTGATGCATGCTTCTCAGCTGCTCCTGTATTGCCGTTAGGTTCTGCAGTAGTATGGTGAGTGAGTGCTACTTGATATTGGGGAGGGCACTGGTGCATGTGGGTCTGTCTGCGAGACTGGGACAGCCCAGGCCTGATCGGATGTGGACCATGATTCTGGTGTTGGTCCGCCAGAGGACGGAGTGTAATGTCCCTCTCCTGTGACACCGGGCACGGTCCCCATGGGTAACGCTCGGTTCCCGTCAGTAAGCCTCTGCTCGGAGCCGTGCCGGGGAGAGTCAGAACCCTCCCACTAACACCCACCCGTCTCCTCCGGCCCGTCTTCTACCCCGCAGCTCCAACCTAGGCCCCACTCCTCTCCCGCCCCGCGGGGCGCCCTCCGGCGGCGCTCGGCTTACGTCACGGCGCAGTGCCAGAGGGGCGTGGCTCCCAGACAAAAGCGAGGCTTAGGCGGGGTCAGAGGGCGGACTTCGAGGTGGGTAGTATGACGTAGATGAAGCGTAAACGGGATGAGGATTGTGTAAAAGTGACGTCAGGGCGGAGGTGGAGTTTAGGGGCAAGATGGCGCCTACTGCGGTGGGGGCCGCGTCCGGGGAGCGGGGTCTCAAGAGCCTGGTGTGGCAGAGTAAGTGCGGGACACCCATGTTCCCTTCCGTCCCTGCGGGCTCCCGCTGCTCGCTCCCTCTCTCTAGGGAAGGGCCCACACGGTCCCGGCGCCGAGATAGCGAGTCCCGGCCCTGGGGCACCAGCACTCGCCTTGCGGCTGCGCCGCGCCTGGCAGACCCAGTGAGGGGAGCCCGGGCTGAGGTCCTGCCCTCACTCCTTTGGGGGCCTTCCTCCGTGTGCCCCCCAGCCCGTGGTGGGTCTCTGCGCTCCTGCAGCCCGAGCCCGCGGCCTGCTGCGTGCCGCCGAGTCAGGGGCTGGTTGCTGCGGGAGTATGGACCTTGCCTCCCTGAACGGGAGACAGCCGCTGAGCCTACCGGGCCTGAGCTGCTGCCTCCGCCTAGTGATTTGGCGGCTGTAGCGCCCTGCTGCGGAGCCGCGCGCTTCTTCGTAAGCGCCAGGAAGGTCCCCGGTCAGTGAAGGCACGGGGCCTGCTGTAAATGTTTTGCGGAAGCGCAGTATAGACTGTGTGATGTTGAAAAATGAGGTTTTGCCCCATGTGGGTCCTGTCTTCACTGGCCTGGGAAATCCTGTTGGTCACCGTCTCATTATAACGGAAGTGCTACAGTTGCTGGGAAGTAGCACTGACTTATTACACTGACAACAGGTCTTTATTCTTAAGTTCTCCTCTATGCTCCAATTTGCACCAGTTTAATTAGTTTAGCCTTTGTCTTGATCGTTATTTTTCATTGGAATATTATAAGGGAATAGCTGTGTTACAAAAACTGCAGCATTGACACTGTTCTAAGCACAGTGTTTTCTAAACTTCCTCCTATGGTCAGTGGCGAAAACAGTTGTCAGGGTGTTGACAGAGCTCACCAAGTGGAGCACCCATTGTAGGAAAAAATTGATAATGACAAATTTTGAAGTTTGTTGGCACTGTGTACTCAAGCTGAACAGTCACCTTCTTCAGTGGCTTTTGAGGGAAGTGGGAGGTTGCCAACTCTGGACAGAGGGCACCCGCTGTCAAATGCAGCAGTTTTTAGAGTATGGAGCCAATGCTTCTGAAAGGGGATTTTCATCATATTTCTATTTTACTGAATATGTTCAAGTAAACGTTCTTCAAGGATTTCTACAACTTGTTTTTTTTTTTTTTTTTTATTCTCAAATGTTAATTACAGACTACTTTGTTTTATTTTTAATTGTTGCTAAATGACCACAAGGAACATATAGTTAGCACTGATGTTTATTATTAGACTGCATATATGAGCAGAAGTGTACTTTTCTTAGCACACTTACTTTTGTCAGAAAATTGCTGTTTAAAACACCACATACTACTTTTTGTATTGATGTAGTGAACATTTTCTTCTGGCAACTTGATACTAGTAACACAACATATTTGGGAAAGTAGAAGTCCAATCAGGAAATTTATAAAAAAAAATGTTAGCAGCTAAAGATTTTGCTGTATATGATAGTACAAATGGATGTGCATTTCAGAAAATGTAAAATAAATGAGGAGGGCAATGCATTTATTACCAATGCTTATTGTCAAATTTGGCAGCACTGGGAGAGTTGCTATCACAGAAGTATGTAGAGTTTGAAAATTGGGTTTGTCATCCAGAACTTGAAAGAGTCACTTGTTTTTTTTCCTCACTGGTGACTGGAAAGTTTTCCTGGAAAATGCAAGGGAATTAAGTCATGTCTACAGAATGTAAACTTTCCTTTGGTGTTGCAAGACGGCAGCAGAGTTTCTAGCCTTTATGGTTGTGAAAGTAACCTTACCTATATATACCCATGTAGTGTGACATTCCTGAATCTTTCTTCAGTGCTCCCTGTAGATTTTTCCAAAGCTGCAAAAAAGTGAGACTACCAAGAGAGACTGAGCACTTCTTTTGCTACTCAGAGGTCTCTGAGTATCAGTGAAAATGGCAACTATCTTCTGTCATTCTGAGCAGCAGCAGAGGCAGGTACTGTTGCTATCCAAGGAGAAGGATTTTCCCCACCCTGAGAAAATGAGGCTGCATATAGTAGATATGCCCCCTTCAATAGCTGAATTTCTGGTGGAAAAGTAAAATATCAGAAATTCTGACTTGTGTGGGAGATGGACAGGGTATTGGAGGACTCCCAAACAAACAGAAAAATAAGGCTTTGAAGCAGTCAGAAGGGCTGTTTCTCCCCCTCCTTCCCATAACAGGCAGGAAGTATTGGAATTGGGTAGTGAGGAAGAGTTCCACCATTTCAGAGACGTGTAATAGTGGGAGCTTCATGTTTATCAGACATGTGCTAGTTACAAGTTAGTATAAAAATGGAGTCCAGGGGCAACACTCTTACCCCTCCTGGAAAAAGTACAACACCCTTTTTCAAGGAAAAGGGGAACCTGGGCTTTTTTAGAGTCCTACAGATAGTTAACTGTCTAGTAAACTCTCCAAAACACATGCCCTCTCCCAACGTACAGTTTTCTCACTGAGGCCTTCTCTACATTACACAATTTTGTTGGCAAAAGTTGCATTTTGCTGACAAAATAGGGGACGTGTACAAACTATAAAGCTACTTTTGGGTGGCAAAACTCTGCTTTTTTGCTGACAAAATAAAACCACCTCAACAAGAGGCATAACGCTTTTTGTGGCATAGTTAAAGCGACAAAGCATCAGTGTAGATGCTGCCTTTCATGTTGACATAACTGGCCTCCCCCGGTATCCCACAATGCCTGCCATGACCGCTCTGCTCCCTGTTTTGAACTCGGCTGCCCTGCAGGCATGTGCCCTTCCCCTTTCAAAGCTCTGGGAAGTTCTGACAGCTGAGAATGCCTTCTGCTCTGGCAGCAAAGAGCAAATCATTAGGGTGGAATCTTCCTGTTCTCCCTTTCACTAGGAACACAGCAGCAGGCAGACTGCTCGTGGAGGGTGGGACTGCTGTGCTGCTTTGACGTTCCTCAGTGTAGAGAGCGCGCTGAGCTGCTGAGGATGCCGCTCCGGTCAGCTGAGGAGGCTCTGGGAGAACTTCGAAGGAATCACAGAACCATAGGCAGGCAGAGCAGGCTGCTGCTGTGGGGGAGGGACAGGGGGAGAGACTGCTGTGCCATGCAGAGGTGGGGGTGATGGTGTCCCCCTGTCTCAGGGTAGCTTTGTCAGGAAGCTGTCTGAACTTAGAGACAGCATGCCAACACAGTTGCTCTCCCCAACACACACACTTCCCCAACACACATTCTGTTTGTCTCTCTTTCTCCCTCTTCCCCCCCCCCCCCAACACTTCCTGTCACACAGTGCTCCCTGGCCCTCACCACCTCAGCTGAAAAGCGACAGACAATCTATGAGGATGCCCATGGAATGATAGAGTTGAGAAACCTGCATCATGTGATGCTCTACCTGCCCCATGAGGCACTGCAAACCCTTCCCAAAGCACCCTGCAGCCAGTTGCATAGTGGGATAGCTACCCACAGTGCACTGCTCTCTGTGTTTATGCAAGAGCTGCTAGTGTGGATGTGCTCTGCTGACACAAGGAGAATAGGGTGGATATGCAACAGTGGTTTAATTAAGGCGGTATAACTTTTGTCGACAAAACTCTGACATAGCCTGAGTCATTTTGATTCTCAATATGTGGGTAAACAAAAAGTGCTATATCTACATTCAGTACATTATATGTACATCTAGCTAAGTTCTTAAAATTATTTGCTGTTTATACAGCAGTGATGCAATTAACATTACAAATTAAGTTAATTTAATGTCATAAATAAATCTTACATAAAAGACCTGGGTCTGAGGAGTTTTTAGTCATATACATGAAACAACAAGTGAGCGTGACTGTGTGTGCCGACAAGGGAAGGAAGGGTGAGGGTTGCAAGAACAACTTTGAGATTTGACTTAAGTTATGTACGCCACTTAATGGTATTGCTGTTTGTTTCTATTTATGTAAGATAAGAATGGCCGTACTGGGTCAGACCAATGGTCCATCTAGCCCAGTATGCTGTCCGACAGTGGTTGGTGCTAGATGTTTCAGAGGGAATGAACAGAATAGGGCAATTTAACAAGTGACCCATCCCTTGTCATCTAGTCCTAGCTTACGGCAGTCTGAGTTTTAGTGATACCAGGAGCATGGGATTGCGTCCCTGAACATCTTGGCTAACGGTTGTTGATGGACTATCCTTCATGAACTTATCTAATTCCCTTTTTAACCCAGTTATACTTTTGGTCTTCATAACATCCCCTGGCAACAAGTTCCATAGATTGACAGTGTGTTGTGCGAAAAAGTACTTCCTTATATTTGTTTGAAACCTGCTACCTACTAATTTCATGGGGGGAGGGGAGGCGGGAAATCTGTTTGTTGTTACGTGAAGGGGCGAAGAACACTTCCCTATTCACTTTCTCCACAACATTCATGACGTTAGACCTCTATTATGTCCCCCCACCTTCCCCTTAGTCATCTCTTTTGTAAACTGAACAGTCCCAGTCTTCTTAATCTCTGCTCATCTGGAAGCTGTTCCATACACACACAATTTTTGTTGCTCTTTTCTGTATGTACCTTTTCCAATTCTCTCTCTCTCTCTCATATATATAAATAAAAAGATGGGGCGACCAGAATTGCATGCAGTATTCAAGGTGTGCGTGCACAATGGCTTTATATAATGACCTGATATTTTTCTCTTACCTATCCCTTTCCTATTGGTTCCTAACGTTAGGTTTCAGAGTGGTAGCCGTGTTAGTCTGTATCAGCAAAAAGAACGAGGAGTACTTGTGGCACCTTAGCAAACATTGTTAGTGTTTTTGACTACTGCTGCACCTATGTTTTCAAAGAATATCTTCAATGACCCCAAGATCTTTCTTGAGTGGTAACAGCTAATTTAGACCCCCATCATTTTGTATATGTAGATGGGATTATGTACTTAATATTTGGATTTCTTATAATCTAATCTTTAGAATTACTTCTCCTTTACTACTTTCCATTCTCTCACATTAAGTTTAATTGATTGGGCCTTTCATTGATATGGGGTTCTAGAAGAAAATGGATTTTTAGGAGGTGTTTGAG